AACATTAGAAATCGCAAAATTAATTACCCAGACTTTAATTTTATTGCCTAGATTTACCAGTATTCCCCTCATACGATCTGCAGTCCTCTATGAAGCTTTATTTTACACTTCTCCCTCCACCCTACATCACATGCATGAGAAAAGGGCTGATACAGCTTTCGTTGTTAATGGCATTTGCGTGTTAGTGACACTGCTTAATTTCATTCTGGTAGATGTACCCGAGTCATTGCTGATTCTGATATATTTAGCACTGAATGCGATAGACTTTGGGGTTTGCATGGAAACAAACGTCTCTTGCTTTTTCCTTCTATAACGCACCGAATTCTTGCCTATCAGTGAAACATTCTCCGTAATTGATAATTCAAACAAACAATTGCGCATTCCTTGGTACAAACAAATTTGATTATATGGAAGTGCAACATACAATTTAGGCATATGAAAAGGCAACTTGTGAGAGTAAGTGCTTGCAAAACACTATCAACCACAATCATTGTAAAAGTCCCGATAACATCAGAGATTGACTAGTGCAAATTTGCCGGTGTTTTTAGCTGTGATTTATGGGCATATCTTATGCTTCTACAGCATTTGTGCATTACTGTAAGTAACCGGTTTTACAATCCACATTTGCTAGTGACACCGCGACGATGTTTGTGCATGAAGAAGTAATCCATTCGAAACAATGCGCCCTTTACTTCTTTTTAGCTTTGTTGATACAGAAAATCCAGTGAGCGAGAAAAAGGGCACACGGAAATCTGATTATGAACGTTATTTATAATGAACAAAATCTGGAATCGCGATCCTGGTCAACACAACTGCTCCTAACTTTGAAGAACACCTCGATAGTGGACAATCTTTCCATGCTTATTAATTATGATGGAGATGGGTAAACCAGTTTAATGGATCCACTCCGTTTAAAGTAATTTTATTGTTTATCATTAAAACCTTTTCTATAGTGGTTTTGCCTCATAAGAAACTTCCCTTTTTTTATCTGGGTAGGTGGATGATTATAAGCCAGGTTTATATTAATGGTTCTACTTCCGACTCAATTCGCGTATGTAGTTACCACCAATTCATTCTCCTTTTAGCTGTCATGGCATCGCTGTTGACGCCAATGCTTTTGTGAATGCAACCAATTGAAGGGCTGAACACAAAATATGTTTGATGACTG